CTGCCTCACCGCCAGCCTCGCTGAATGCCAGGAGGGTCCCTTGGCTCTGCCAGAGCTGGCCACAACACCAGCCGTGAGCACTGGTGGACCTTTCCTCTTCTCTCTTCCTGCAGAAACCAGCGATGAGAAATACCTGAACTCCATTTGCAGCACCTTCATCTGGGTTCTCTTGGCAGGTGCCTGCATCCTGCTCCTCATGGCCCTGGTGGTCACCATCGTGCTGTGGAAACGTAAGTCTCACCTGTAACCCCATGTAGATACTACTCTAGCCCAAAACCGCAGCCCTGTCCTTTAGGGGAAGGGATCTTCTAGCTGTCCCTTTAAGTAGGCATCAGACAGCCAGGGCACCATCAACCCAAGAGAAGGACCGCTGTTAAAGAAACATCAGCGTCCCCATTTTCCTCCTCAGTAGGCTTAGCCCAAGAAATCATTATGAGTTTCTACACTACAAGGAATAAAAATAGATTAGAAATAGAAAAAACTTTCTCTACCAGTCCATATTGCCTCTGCCGGCCCTACATTGGTGGATCAGGGGGTAAACGTACCAGAACCTGAAACACTTTGACAAAACGGGATAAATGGGCTCCAGCACGGGGCTTGCAAATTCAAATGCCACGACCCCCATCAGCAGCTTGAGCTGTCACCAAACAAGCAGCTTCATTGCACGGGTTCAGAGGCTGCTATGGTTAAAGCAGCAATGCAAAATCCCTTGGGTGAAATTGCATCTTTGAGATGTCTTTAAATTACCCCGAGCAAGCAGCGAGTGCAGATGCATTTAAATCAATTTGCCGCTCCCTGAAATCAGTTTAACTTTCCTGCGGGGAGTTTCCCGGTACCCCCAGACGTTACACCGATTTCATTGAACCAGCTCAGCTTGTTTCCCTGGAACACCAAAGCGTTTTGCTGCTGAATTAACCCAATAGATCCTCACTGAGCCCAGAGCCTGGAGCTGATGGGAGATGAATTTGCCAACTGACCCAGCTAAAAAAAAAATCAAACCCAAACAATTTTTCAGCATTGTTTAGCCCTGAAAAATCAACCTGGTGTGCATCAATAGGAAGGAATAAATGAAAAAACACTGATGAGCCACAGCCAAAAATCATTCTCCTCGAGAGACATAGCTGATGCTGCAGCAGAGCACCCGGCTCTGGTCCAAATTCCCTCTGAAGTCACCCGGAATCCCTGGGGACCTGCAACATCTCATAACCTACAAACGCCACCCCGTGATTTATCTCTGCTTTTTAATGCTGCTGTGAGTGATCAGCAAAAAGCCGTTAGCTGCAGTTAATTTCTGCAGCAGGCAGCACAAACCCTCCAGGACAGGATTTGTACTTCGTGCTAAAATCAACGGCTCGACAAGGTACTTCACCAAAGACGGAACCGCATAGATGCTAAAGTGGGGAAAAGCATCGTTTGACTTTGTTGCATGCTGCGTGGCATCATTGCCCCTCATCTGTTGTAGGAATTAATTCCTGCCAATGGATTTTCAGCAATTTGCCAAAGTCGCTGGAGACAGCAAAAAAAAATATATATAAATTTGCTGTCAGTGTTCCCAGGCTGACCCTGCTACCATACTCACATGAGGATTTCATTCATGAACATACTTAAGTGGGCTGCCAGGGAAATGTGAGCTGCAGCACCGCTCACTGGCATGGCTTTCCTCAAAAATAACCCTGGCTTATCCATTGTTAGTCTTAAAGGGAGCACACGGCTAGGGAACGCCAGCCCCGCCTTGCTGCCGCGTGTCTTTAGCGAGCTGCGACTTGGTATCTTTGAGCTAAAATGTTTTCTTTTTGATTTTAGAAACCAGAAGACGAAGGTGCAGATGTAAAAGGTCAGTAAGTGACAGGTGGTGATGTTGTTCTCTTAAACGCAGCGGCATCTCATCCTTAAGTGAGAAAGCGGGCAGGTGCCCAAAAGCGACCTAAAAATTCTTCATCCAATATGCGGTGGGTGGGAGGGGACTGTGTAATGAATTAAGGGCAAAAAAAGAGAAGAGTCTCTTCTCCTGCGTTTGTTTTTTTAACCTTAAGTAAGTCAAACCATGGAGCACTGACACTGCAGTAGGTACTAAACAGAAAGACAGGAGGTGGTTGTGGCAGCCTAAAAACTTGGTGCATCACCTGGTGTTTAGAACTAACAGCACACAGGTGTGCTCCCAATGCACTACCCCAACTCCAGCCCGGGGTGAGCATATTTCATCCCTTCCCCTCCCCAAAACGTTCATTTGATTTCATCACTGGATCTGCAGGTTGTGCCTGTGGGTTAGATGCAAGGGATTGCATCCCAAAGCCCCCTCTGCACAATTTTGGCCCGACATGACCATGGCTTTACGCCTCTATTTCCCCAAATCCTCTTGCCCGTAGAGTAATGCGTGTTTTGCTTCTGCAAATCGAGCTCCCTGCCACAGGTTTTTTACCTCGCCAGCTCTGCAGAAACCCACTTCTGCAGTTTTGCAAGCCTTGGGCTGAGGCTGCACCCGAGGGCTTGCGGCAAGAGAGCGCTCTAGCACCAAAATCCCCGCTACTGCCCCGGCCAGGCCGGTGCTGGGGCCAGCACTTGGAAAAGCTGGGTCGCAAGAAAGGTTGAAACAGTAGTGTCACCCCTCTGGAGCCTTATTCTTTACAAATCGAGCAGCTTTTAAATTGGGTAAATTCAAATTTCCGTGTTATACATGCACGAGTTTCATAGTAAAGAAGCTAATAGTTTGTCAGTTGTCCAAATTAATATCATTTAGAAAGAAATGATGACTAGGAAACGCCTCCTTTGCCCTACATTAACAGAAAATGGATCCTTACAATTATTTTTTTTTTTTTAAAGGCAGAACACATCAGAAATCAGTGCCTGAATAATAACAACGTTTAAGGGAAGAGGCACCGAGTAGCAATGCCGTCTGCCCTTCGGGTGCAATCTGCCTTGGTGTATGTCAGAATACAGCCACCCCCACAGACCTGATTTTTCTTTACCCATCCGAAAAAGGGAAGAGCCTGTCCTTTTTACGATGGCTATTTATTATACCCAGCGCTCTTCTGATCATCACCTGGCTTCCCAAGGGCTAAGCGATAACAGAGGGCTCTTCTTGCGGCCTTGTGCAGGACGATGCTGGCGTTCTTCACTTATCTCCATTCCCGTTGCCAGCCCTGAGCAAAGATGTTCTGTCCCTAAGGGGAAAACACGCTGCAGAGCTCTTCAGTTTTGCCCCGACGGAGCAGTTGGGTTGCAAGCGCCTCAGGAAAACATCTCATCAAGGACAGCTTTCCTTAGGCAGCGCTAACATGGCAGAGCCCTGGTCTAAGCGATCGTGGCGTATTTAAGCTTTTATTTAGAGAGGAAATCCCTGCTGCTGTGAGCTGTTCCCGCTTACTGAAATAAAGCTCTTTGGAAGTTAACAGTGCGACTCGCTCAATTAAAGAGCGCCTCAGGATCTGGCCTGGGATTCTCGCTGGCAGCCGAAAGATTCATTTTCCACCACAAATTAATCTTCAGTGAAAACGGGTGCCAAATTTCTGACTCATTAAATCAGCATAGAGGTATCAGTTGCTGGAGACCAGTACTTTCTGTCGTTTTGGGAAGACTCTGGTAGTCTAGAAAGTTTCCCTTTCAAACTTTTGCAACCAGAAAAACTCCTTATAAATTGATAACAGCTTCCCCAACTCCAAAAGAAGCCCTGAGCTCTTCTTTCTTCATTCATTTCTGAATGCAGAGAAAGGCTTGATGAGAGGAGAGGAGTGTGCAGAAGTCAGAGGCAAATTAAAAAAAAAGTCCCCCCCCATTTTTTTCTTCTAATTAGCGTAACAATTGATTAGCAGTGTATCTTAGGAAAGTCCTTCTGCTGGCTTTCACTAGTTGGAATGTTGGCAGATCCTTCACTAGCACAAAGAGGATTTGGGAACACTTGGCAGCCTGCTCTCGGAGGCCCCTGGCTGCAGGCCACGGCTAAACGACCTGAGCAGCAGCCATACATTAATTGCCTGCTTGTCCCTTTCACAGCAAAGCAAATCAAACCCTTTTCTCTCTCTCTAGACCCGCAAACGGGAAGCCCAAAGTGAAAGCCACCATGCCAATCCCACACGTATAACTAGTGGCGTCTTCTGCCTTCTGGGACCTCTTCTGGGAGCTCTCACTGCATAAGCCCATCACCTACGTTACCCGTAACGCTACTGCCCCTCACGCACGCCGCCTCGACAGATTGGAAAGGACGAGATGGAGCAGACACACGGACAGCAAGCAGGCACTTTTCTGTGAAGTGCAGGCTAAAGCACAGCTCCTTCCAAAACCTGACGTTTTGCAAATTGATTCCCAAGGCCAAATGCCATCTCCATTCGCAGTGACGGA